ATACAGCGATTGCAGAAAAGTTCCCATCCATCTTTACTGTGAAAAATATTGGACAGATTCCCATTTCTAAATCACTTTTTCCAGAAGGGTGTTCAGAGAACTGAACCAAAAAGAGGCGATGGGAGATAAAGTTCTAGGGCTAACTGCCAAATTAAAACAAACAAATCACCAGCTCCCGACGGCATATACACGCAGCAGTTCTCAGAGAACTAAAATGTGAAATTGCTCCTCCCCTAACAAAAATATGAAGCATGTCACTAAGATTGTCCTTCCTTTCTAGAGCGTTGGAAGAAAGCCAACACAACGCCAGTCTTTTAAAAAAAAGGCAGTCAGCTAGCTCAATGTCTGTTTGGGGGTAAAGAGGTGGAAAATATTGTTTAGCATTTTAGAAGAACAGCTTCGCCCAAGGAGGAATCAATGAGTTCGCCAGAGGGAAGCTTCACCAATCTTGTGTCGTTCCTTGAGAATGTCAATAAGCGTGTGGGTAAGGGTGATGCATTAAACAACAGTAAACCCGAACTTCCAAAAATCATTTGGCAAAGTCCTCCTGAGTAACAGCCACGGAGTAAGAAGACAGGTCCACTTATGGATCAGGAACTGGTTAAAGAACAGGAAATACGATAAATGTAAGAATGCAATGGAGGCAAATAAGCAGCGGGGTCCCCAAGGATCTGTACTGAAACTAGTGCTATTTCAATCAATGCTATTCCTAAATCATCTGCCATGACCAGCAAGGAAGCCAACTGAAATATACTCGGAGTCGAGAGTGGATTTCATGCTCTTTATTCAGCTCATAGTGGTGAGGAGGAATGGAAGTTCCCCCACAATATCTGCTTTATATACACAATGGGCTGCACGTGATTGGCTAATTCCAGGATTCTCTTGTAGGCCAATCAGGTTGTGGATTCACTTCCATCTGGAGCTGGATTGGGTGGCTCCTGCAGACCAATCATACCGCTGCATTGTTCTAGGACCAATCAGACTGCTGCATTCTGAATCCTATTGTTCTAGGACCAATCAGACTGCTGCATTTTGGATCCTATCGTTCTAGGACCAATCAGACTGCAGCATTTTGGATCCTATTCAACTCAGTACATAACACCAATATTGTGGATGGTACCATTCGCCCAACCACCAAGTTGGAGAATATCGACGCAGATTATGTTCAGTTTTGCTCTCCCTGTCTCAATCATGAGAAAGTTGGGAAAGGCACAGATAAGAGCAACTAGACCATCCAAGTGGTGCAGCTGGAGCATCTTCCCTGTGAAGGAAGGTGTAAGCATTTGGGTTTTTTAAAAATAAAAATAAAAAATAAGATAATTATTGTGTGGGTAGAGGGGGTGGAGACATGGAGAACCTTATGCCAGTGGTTCTCAGCCCGTGTGCTGTGGCACCCTGCGGTGCCTTGAAGGATGGTCAGGGGTGCTGTGGGTAACACTGGCCTCTGTCCCTCTTGCCTTTGCTCCCTCCTCTGATGGCCTCTAGCGTCTCTGCCTCCCAAAGGCTTGCACAGCTGTTTGTTGCAGCAGAGGCTTCCAGGAGGACTTCCAAGGAGAAGGGAGAGGAGAGGAGGCTGAGGGAATGCTCCACAAGGAAGGGTGTTCGAAAAAGGGTGAGAGGCTGACAGCTCTACAGGCAAGGGGTGACAAAACTGGACTCCTGAGCCTCACAGGGGTGCCACAGAAATAATGTTGTTGGTCAAGGGAGCCGTGGACTCAAAAAGGTTACAAACCTCTGACTTATAAAGTTCTGTATTGTGTGAGGGGAGTGGAAAGTGAGAACTTTCCCTCCTTCTCTCTATAGTCCTGGAACTTGGGCTCTCTCCATGAACCTCAAGGGAGCAGGATGGCAGTAGATTCGGGACAAACCGACAAAAGTACTTGTGCATACAAAGCATATTGTTATAGATGGGGGGGGGGCTCCCCTAACCACTATAAATGAATAAATAGTAGGATTTGGAGATGTGATGGGAGAAATACAAGCTGAAGAGGAATTCCTGAGCTTTGTTGTTGTTTAGTCGTTTAGTCGTGTCCGACTCTTTGTGACCCCGTGGACAGAGCACGTCAGGCACTCCTGTCTTCCACTGCCTCCCGCAGCTTGGTCAAACTCATGCTGGTAGCTTCGAGAACACTGTCCAACCATCTCGTCCTCTGTCGTCCCCTTCTCCTTGTGCCCTCCATCTTTCCCAACATCAGGGTCTTTTCCAGGAGTCTTCTCTTCTCAAGTGGTGGCCAAATTCTTGGAGCCTCAGCTTCAGGATCTGTCCTTCCAGTGAGCACTCAGGGCTGATTTCCTTAAGGATGGAGAGGTTTGATCTTCTTGCAGTCCATGGGCCTCTCAAGAGTCTCCTCCAGCACCGTAATTCAAAAGCATCAATTCTTCGGCGATCAGCCTTCTTTATGGTCCAGCTCTCACTTCCATACATCACTACTGGGAAAAGCTAGCCTATGCAAAAGGACCTGGCCAGTCTAGGGCCATTAAGAAACAATACATCAAGAGCCACTGACAATGCAAAATAACTGTTCTCTCCCCCCCCCCACTTGCCCTGAGGTGTGAACCGAGGATGGGGTTCGGCAGGTTGCCAGGGTAGCTGGGTGTGAGGCGAGAGGAAAAGAGAGTCTTTTAGCAGAATGTTCTGGGAAGAAGAAGGAAGAAGAAAGACTGGCATCCATCTTGGGCAGGCTGGCTGAAGGCTGGCTACACTGCTGTGGGGTACAAACCCCTCTTGAAAAGACCATGGTGTAAGATCTGGACTCCCTCCAAGCAGACTGGAAGTGTAAATAGGTGAATAGACTATATTTCTTAACACTACAACAGTCTGGCACAGGGATTCCTTGTCTGGCACAGTTCTGCCGCTTGTAGTTTCATCCATATCCCAATTACCGGTAATCAAAATCCTTCCCCTCCCCATTTAGAACAATATTAAGACTCCAGACAGCATGTGGCCACATCATTTCACTTTCCCCCAGCTTATAAAACTATAGCACACAACTGAGAACTTGAGTGACGGGAATGGTGGCGAAAGGGTACTTTGTACAATGGGAGGACCCTGCTGAAGCAGCAAACAGCTAGCTAAAGTCTTCCCTAACTTAAAAAAACACACACAGAAGAGACCTATGGAAAGGGATGCTAAAGAGACTCACTTATGCACAAATGTGGGTGTCCTGGCATTCTGAAGTCACAGCGGAATGACCTCCCCCCCTTCTATTTCATAGGTTCCACCAGTTTTTGCAGCAAATTAACGAGTGGTTTTTGGCTCCACGCAAGAGGGATTTTCAAATCATTACACTACATAACAATGCTGTGTATGTTATGCTGGCAGAACTGCTTCCAAACAAAATTTCTGACCATTAGCTGCTATGGCAACAAATCACCTATACCAGGCCAACACCATAGGTATTCAAAGGCCTATTCTCTAGTTAAAAGAAGCTGGATGTTTTTGAACATGATTTCCGATGTAATAAAAGTGTAATGGAAATGTCTAAATGTACCACCTTGGACTCCTTGGAGTATAGGTGGGATACGGTTGCAATAATAAATGAACAACATAAAATCAAGATGGGGGTGGGGATTCTGGACCAAAGCAATTTTTTTTTTGGCCTCCCTGCTGATTTTGACCCCTTCGTGGATCACTGCCTTGCCATGGCGAAGGGGCTTGAATAACTCAGAGAAGCTATGAGCTATGCCGTGCAGGGCACCCAAGATGAACAGGTCATAGTGGAGAATTTTGACCAAACGTGATCCACCTGGAGGAGGAACCGGCAAGCCACTCCAGTATCCTGCCAAGAAAACTCCATGGACAAAGACAAGAGGCATACAGTGGTACCTTGCAAGACGAATGCCTCACAAGACAAAAAACTCGCTAGACGAAAGGGTTTTTTGTTTTTTGAGCTGCTTCGCAAGACGATTTTCCCTATGGGCTTGCTTCGCAAGACGGAAACGTCTTGCAAGTTTGCTTCCTTTTTCTTAACACCGTTAATACAGTTGCGACTTGACTTCGAGGAGCAACTCATAGAACACGGTGTGGTAGCCTTTTTTGAGGTTTTTAAAGACTTTGGTGATTTTTGAAGCTTTTCCAAAACTTTCCCGACACCGTGCTTCGCAAGACGAAAAAAATCGCAAGGCGACAAAACTCGCAGAACGAATTAATTTCGTCTTGCGAGGCACCACTGTATAATTTGACCAAACTGTGGGAGGCAGTGGAAGACAGAGGTGCCTGGCGTGCTCTGGTCCATGGGGTCACGAAGAGTCAGACACGACTAAAAAACTAAACAACAACAACTGATTTTGTCAGCCATAAAATCAAAATGAATGTTGTGCGCCCAGCAACATGGTGCAGTTCAACAGTTTATTGGACCAGGAGATGTGTTGAGTGCAGTGTATTGGACCATGAAGCGTATTGGGCCAGTCACACTATCTCTCAGCCTTAACCCACCTCAAGGGTTGTGGTAAGCTTAAAATCGGAAGAGGGGGAAGAACCATGAACCATGCCCAGAGCTCCTTGGAGGAAGGGTGTGACTCCATAAATGTAACAAATAGGAAGCTAATGGCTTACCATTAACAATAGCCATCTTCCCTCTCCATGCCTGAGTGCCTCTTATATGTTAGCATCTGCTTTGGCTGGAGCCGTAGAAAATTATTCAGTACCGAGAGGCCATTTGGAGGATGGCTCTTAGCACAATCCTTAATTAATTTCTGATTACACGTACTGAATTTATCCATCCGCAGAGCAATTCTTTCCAGCTTCTATGCACTCTGCTTCTGCGTAACATTAGGAGCTGAGTTATTTGTCTTTCTCAAGACTACGATACAGAGGCTGCTAATGGGACAACTCAGGATGGAGCAGCTGCATGCCCTACTTTACAAAGGACATGGCTTTGTTTGAAGGGGCTGTCCTGCCCAGCCCAAGTCCTGTTTAAAAGATAAAGAACCAAGAAATGTAGAGTTGGAAGGGACCACGAGGGTCATCTAGTCCAACCCCCTGCAATGCAGGAATCTTTTGCCCAACGTGGGGCTTGAACCCACAATCTTGAACTTAAGAGTCTCATACTCTACCGTCTGAGCTGTCCAGTGAGACTTGTTACAACCTTCCACAACCTGGTGCCCCTCCAGAGGTTTCCAGCCTACAACCCCTATCAGCCCCAGCCGGTATGGTCATTAGTTAGGGATGATGGGAGTTGTAGTCCCAAAAAAATTGTGACGGTTTCACCGTTGGGGAAAGCTGTTATAACACGTATTTCTAAATTTGCATATGCAAATTTAGAAATTTAAAAACTCTGCAGCCTCTTATAGTTGTTTTAACTGTGAGTCTTTTAGTTCTTATGCTCTTACAGTTGTTTTAACTGCGTGTTTTTATTTGTTTTTAGTTCTTATCTGTTTTAATTATCAGTTTTTATCCATCCATTATCCGTGTTTAATCTTGTATTTTATTCAGATGTTTTATCCTATATTTGTTTCTTTGTCCTTATCTGCTCCAACATTTATCAGTTAAAAAAATCCTAACTGCTATTTTATTTACATGTTTCTCTTTTGTTTGTTTGTTTGTTTGTTTGTTTGTTTGTTTGTTTGTTCTTTGTTTTTTTTATTCTGGTCTGTGACCGTAATAAAGTTCATTCATTCATTCATATGCAGACATGTGTCTTCTCCTATGTTGGGTTTTGACCCTGTATTTCCCTTTTGCATTAAATGGTCACCTTAACTCAAAAGTAAGTACCTAAGCACATCTGGCTTGCAACCCAGAGAGTCATGTAAACTACCAGCATTTAAGAGGTGCTGTGTTCATGCTTCTTGGACGTAACACCCTTGAAGCCTTTCCACCCAGATGTGTGAAGGCTGACCGTGACTACTGGGTCTTGTGGGAAAGGCAGTCTTGCCACTGCTGAGAGGCACTCTCCTCTTTCTGAACACTTCACACGTTCAAGAGTTGAGTGCTGGCACTGCAGAGAGTTTCTGGGAGCGAGCCCTGGTGATTGTGAACTCAAATTCAGAGCAGATGTTGCCAGATCCCAGATTGAGCACAACCTACAAGCTGATGCCTGTGACTCCAGAGCCATTGCCAAAGACAAAGACCTTTCTAAGCTCATGCGTGCAAGACAGATGGTGGCTTGAGGTGAACTCATGGTTTCCCACCAATAGCATTTCAAACTTAGACTGGGCATACGCTTATTATTAGCACAATTTTGGTGGTCATTACCCAGTCCCAACCCCCCAACAAGGTTGACTCAGAGAAGCAAGTCTTCAGAGTTCCAAAGGATTTAATGGCTGTTATGTATGCTTAGGGTTGCAGCATTTAGAGGAGGGGGTGAGGAGCTGTAGCTCTCCAGCATGGACAATGGTCAGCTGTCATGGGCTGGATAGACCGAGGAGTGGTGGGAGGAACCAACTGGGGAACCCCCAAGGGAAGAAGGCTCAGAGCCTGGGGATTGGTGGTGGGACAAGGATGAGTGGTCAGTGGAAGAAGAGGGAGCAGACTGAGAAGTGGAGGTGTCAGAGGCTGAAGGGGTAACAGGGCTTAGTGAGCTGGGAGAGTCTGGGGCAGAGAGAAGTCAAGAATCAGAGGCAGAAGTTGAAGCAGGTGAGCAGGCAGAGAGAGGACAAGAGGCAGAGATGAGTCAGGCTGGTGAAAAGTCATGGGTGTCTCCCCCTCCTGCTGCAACAAGATCCCCTGCTCACCCAGAACCAGAAGAGAGCTGAAACAGGTGGAGCAGTGGCAGCCTTCACACAGGCGCAGTCTCTGATTGCTTGCAAGAAACCCTGAAGAGGAGAATACATAGTCGGCTGTGGGAAGGCAGGGACCTTTGGCCTCAGCAACTGATTTCATAGAGCAAGACCTACAGGGCAGGTGAAACTTAGCCAAGATCGTGTTTTGCTAATGAAGAGTTAGCTCCAGCTTGGAACTGTGTTATTTACTGACCGGCTTGCTTTGTGACATCAGTGATGATGGAATCCAGCAAAATCTGGAGGACCAAATGTCCCCCTCCACTATTTTAGAGGTTATCACTTACTGGAGGGAATCATTACTCAGTGAATATACGTTTATACATCTATTTACAAGATTATATATAGGGACATAGTATTGCAACATAATATAATTTCTCTATATTCCCCTTCTGTTACCATGTATGGAGAACAGCACCCAGTGCATAAGATGGTGATCTACAGGACCTTAAAGGCTGCCTTTTCCCATACTTTCTTCCCCCTCATGCTGAGGAGGATGTTCTCCAGATTCTGCTTCATGGTGGTCAACTACTAGGTGCAGAGTCTTTTCATTAGTGGCCCCCAAGCTTTACCGTTTTAGATATAGTTGTTCCTTGCTGTTTTAGGGCTTATCTACACCTTTTTGCCCCACCACTTCCCCCTGGGGAAATCCAATATTTAGCACTGAATTGGAACAAGTGGCACTCGGGTTATCTGCAGATTGCTGTTTGTTCCGATTTAGTGACAAAGAGCAGGTTTTCCAGGGGAAGGCATTGGGGCAAAGGCATAGCCACTTGTATCTGTGCCTATAATGCATGAAACAAAGTGAAAACTGCTTGGACCCATGCTTTCTAGACAAGGGACAAGTGTGGACTAGCCCTTAGTGATGTTTACCTCAGTGACTGATGGTTTAATTTGATGCAATGGTGTGCTCTTAGGTAAGCCACCTTGAACTTTGTGGAAAAGGCAAGGTATGAGCATGTCAAATTAAAAAGAAAAATGAAATAAAGTATGGGGATTCCTTTGGGATTATGTGTGAATCTTGCACATTGCTGGATGGGTTCTGCCCCCCGTGCCAAAGAAGATTTTTGCACCGCTTGTACAACCAGCGGAAACCTGTTTCCGCTTGCAGTTGGGTCAATAAGCAACTTTCACAGATAAATTGGACCTTAGAGGGAGTCCAGGTGAAAGCTCTGTGCTGAAGCAGAGCACAGCCAAATGTTATGGCCACGTTTGCTTAGCCTGGCATCCAGAAGTGCAACCTGCCAGAGGCTGAGAGGAGGGTATTCCTGCCCCTCTTCCCTTTGGGGCATGGTCACAGCTGTGCTTGCTTGAGCACACTCATTTTGCAGCCAGTCCCCTTTCTCAAAGGGCAATTGCAGAATGTTATCCCTCTGCCCATCCAAATGCATTGCTGCTAAGAAGCCAGCTGGGCTCTGCTCCACGTATCTTGGCAAAGGCACCAGGAGCGGATTAGGTTGCCTACCAATATTTCAGTGAATTAGAGCTTAAAGCAGGGTGGGTAAGAGAATGGGCAGCTGTGTGTGTGTGTGTGTGTTTAGGGGTGGGTGGGGCAAAGGGATGTTGATTTTGAGGTTGGCAGCACAATTCTGTTTACAGAGAAATTAAATTAAAAGTCCTGGACTGGAAACCACAGGCAATGCAAAGCATCTGCAATGCATGCTCCTAAATGCTTCTTTATTTATTGGGGCGGGGCGCATTATATCATGTCCTGCCTTCGTATTCACAGCACCTCGCAAAACATTTATAACAATAAAATGAAACAAAAATTAACAGCACAATTAGGAACGGAAACAGAGAGAGACAGGCATTACCGGTAAAAACAACCATTAAAACCCACGTATCAGCCTGGCAGGTCAAGTGCATGCTAGACTTTTTGGGGGTAGATCAGAGAAAGTAAGGAAAAAGTGGAGCCAAATGGCCAGGAGTTTCATAATATTGGCACAGCCACAAACATGCAACCAGTCCCAATGGGTGCAATATGATCTGACAGGCAAGAACTCATCAAGACCCTCACTGCACCAACTGAGATTTCTAGAGGCTATTCAATGTATTATATTGCAGGAACCTGATCTGGATGGTCAGGTCAGACATCAGGAATTTATGTAGTTAGTGAATTATGGTGCTGGAGGAGATTCTTGAGAGACCCATGGACTGCAAGAATCCATTCTGAAGGAAATCAGCCCTGAGTGCTCACTGGAAGGACAGATCCTGAAGCTGAGGCTCCAGTACTTTGGCCACCTCGTGAGAAGAGAAGACTCCCTGGAAAAGACCCTGATGTTAGGAAAGATGGAGGGCACAAGGAGAAGGGGACGGCAGAGGATGAGATGGTTGGACAGTGTTCTTGAAGCTACCAGCATGAGTTTGACCAAACTGCGGGAGGCAGTGGAAGACAGGAGTGCCTGGCGTGCTCTGGTCCAGGGGGTCACGAAGAGCCAGACATGACTAAACGACTAAACAACAACAGTGTGCCTAGCTGGGCACACTAGCTAGGCAAAAGCATCGGATATTCAGGAGCAAACCCAGGCCCAGGAGTGCTCTTCCTAGATTACAAATATGATTCCCGCCCCCCCCCAGGAGGTTCTGCTCTACACAAAGCAGACTGCGACACCTGTCCTTTGAATTGGCCCCTTTCCCATCCAGGAGCAACTCTGTGGTGTCTGGAGCAAGCTTTAATTTCTTGGCTTTCGTCTATTCCATTACCACCTCCAGGCACTGATTCAAAACATCAACAGCACACATTCAAAGCATTTGCAACCATGCTCGTGTACATTAGCCACGAACCCGGAAGTGGCAGGGAAAGGGGGGTGTAACAGGGCTTAATGGGGCAGGGTAGCCTCTGTTGTGTGCAAATTGGGGGTTGCCTGTACAAATTAAATCTTAAATGGAGCAACAGTTATCTTAAGGCTGAATAGATGCACTCTCTTCTCTGTGGTGAGAACTTTAGTACAACAACCTCTGGAAGGCACACCTTTCACTAATCCTGATGTAGCATCTACACTCTTGTAGACATATCAACTGCTGGTATTTGGCCCCTGTGAATGTGGCCCTTAAGTCATGAATGGAAGACTAGAGAAGCCAAAACAGACTTTGCAGGATTCGTGCCTTTTCCTCCTTGAAGCCCATCCTCCACATCCAGGGAACTACTTTGTTCTGCCTTAAAAGATCTCCGAGACAGCTTCACACATAGACACCAGGTTGTAAAGCCCTGAAGATAAGAGTGGCGGTTCCTGGGGTACTAATGAGAGACTAAACAATATATTTTGGTTCCATGGATATTATGAGTTTCTGCTTCATGGCAAATGGCTTGACTGGAGATTCTTTAAGGTAAGCCTATCATTTGCTCTGAGCCCTCAAGAG